CCTCCATGGACCCTCTTGGCTGTTTTTGGCTGGTGCAGAGGCCCCACCTGATCCCTTTGACCATGTACAACCCCCTCTAGACTGAAAATTTCATTCACTCTCTACCCCATTTCAGCCTAGCTGGGCCGCTTCCTCGGCGTCAAAGGCGGACAGTCAGTGTGCACCACAGAGGTTCTGCCAGCTGCCCAGGAGAGCTTCATCCAGCCCCAAGCACCCCAGGGGACTGGTAGGAAATGAAATGCATGTTGTTTTTGCTGTGCCTTTTTTAAAAAGGTCCATTGTGCATTTAAGGTTTTCTGTGCACTTAAGGTTTCCTATAGCAGTCCTTAAGTGCACAGAAAACCTTAAATGCACAATGATCTTAACCCCTCCCTGGACCCTCTTGGCTGTTTTTGGCTGGTGCAGAGGCCCCACCTGATCCCTTTGACCATGTACAACCCCCTCTAGACTGAAAATTTCATTCACTCTCTCTCCCATTTCAGCCTAGCTGGGCCGCTTCCTCGGCGCGTCAAGGCGGACAGTCAGTGTGCACCACAGAGGTTCTGCCAGCTGCCCAGGAGAGCTTCATCCAGCCCCAAGCACCCCAGGGGACTGGTAGGAAATGAAATGCATGTTGTTTTGCTGTGCCTTTTTAAAAAGGTCCATTGTGCATTTAAGGTTTTCTGTGCACTTAAGGTTTCCTATAGCAGTCCTTAAGTGCACAGAAAACCTTAAATGCACAATGATGTCTTGGCCCCTCCCTGGACCCTCTTGGCTGTTTTTGGCTGGTGCAGAGGCTCCACCTGATCCCTTTGACCATGTACAACCCCCTCTAGACTGAAAATTTCATTCACTCTCTCTCCCATTTCAGCCTAGCTGGGCCGCTTCCTCGGCGCGTCAAGGCGGACAGTCAGTGTGCACCACAGAGGTTCTGCCAGCTGCCCAGGAGAGCTTCATCCAGCCCCAAGCACCCCAGGGGACTGGTAGGAAATGAAATGCATGTTGTTTTTGCTGTGCCTTTTTAAAAGGTCCATTGTGCATTTAAGGTTTTCTGTGCACTTAAGGTTTCCTATAGCAGTCCTTAAGTGCACAGAAAACCTTAAATGCACAATGATGTCTTGGCCCCATGGACCCTCTTGGCTGTTTTGGCTGGTGCAGAGGCCCCACCTGATCCCTTTGACCATGTACAACCCCTCTAGACTGAAAATTTCATTCACTCTCTCTCCCATTTCAGCCCTAGCTGGGCAGCTTCCTCGGCGCGTCAAGGCGGACAGTCAGTGTGCACCACAGAGGTTCTGCCAGCTGCCCAGGAGAGCTTCATCCAGCCCCAAGCACCCCAGGGGACAGGTAGGAAATGAAATGCATGTTGTTTTTGCTGTGCCTTTTTTAAAAAGGTCCATTGTGCATTTAAGGTTTTCTGTGCACTTAAGGTTTCCTATAGCAGTCCTTAAGTGCACAGAAAACCTTAAATGCACAATGATGTCTTGTCCCCTCCCTGGACCCTCCTGGCTGTTTTTGGCTGGTGCAGAGGCCCCACCTGATCCCTTTGACCATGTACAACCCCCTCTAGACTGAAAATTTCATTCACTCTCTCTCCCATTTCAGCCTAGCTGGGCCGCTTCCTCGGCGCGTCAAGGCGGACAGTCAGTGTGCACCACAGAGGTTCTGCCAGCTGCCCAGGAGAGCTTCATCCAGCCCCAAGCACCCCAGGGGACTGGTAGGAAATGAAATGCATGTTGTTTTTGCTGTGCCTTTTTTAAAAAGGTCCATTGTGCATTTAAGGTTTTCTGTGCACTTAAGGTTTCCTATAGCAGTCCTTAAGTGCACAGAAAACCTTAAATGCACAATGATGTCTTGGCCCCTCCCTGGACCCTCTTGGCTGTTTTGGCTGGTGCAGAGGCTCCACCTGATCCCTTTGACCATGTACAACCCCTCTAGACTGAAAATTTCATTCATCTCTCTCCCCATTTCAGCCTAGCTGGGCAGCTTCCTCGGCAGCAAAGGCGGGACAGTCAGTGTGCACCACAGAGGTTCTGCCAGCTGCCCAGGAGAGCTTCATCCAGCCCCAAGCACCCCAGGGGACTGGTAGGAAATGAAATGCATGTTGTTTTGCTGTGCCTTTTTAAAAAGGTCCATTGTGCATTTAAGGTTTTCTGTGCACTTAAGGTTTCCTATAGCAGTCCTTAAGTGCACAGAAAACCTTAAATGCACAATGATGTCTTGGCCCCTCCCTGGACCCTCTTGGCTGTTTTGGCTGGTGCAGAGGCCCCACCTGATCCCTTTGACCATGTACAACCCCTCTAGACTGAAAATTTCATTCACTCTCTCTCCCATTTCAGCCTAGCTGGGCCACTTCCTCGGCGTCAAAGGCGGACAGTCAGTGTGCACCACAGAGGTTCTGCCAGCTGCCCAGGAGAGCTTCATCCAGCCCCAAGCACCCCAGGGGACTGGTAGGAAATGAAATGCATGTTGTTTTGCTGTGCCTTTTTAAAAGGTCCATTGTGCATTTAAGGTTTTCTGTGCACTTAAGGTTTCCTATAGCAGTCCTTAAGTGCACAGAAAACCTTAAATGCACAATGATGTCTTGGCCCCTCCCTGGACCCTCTTGGCTGTTTTGGCTGGTGCAGAGGCCCCACCTGATCCCTTTGACCATGTACAACCCCCTCTAGACTGAAAATTTCATTCACTCTCTCTCCCATTTCAGCCTAGCTGGGCCTTCCTCGGCGTCAAGGCGGACAGTCAGTGTGCACCACAGAGGTTCTGCCAGCTGCCCAGGAGAGCTTCATCCAGCCCCAAGCACCCCAGGGGACTGGTAGGAAATGAAATGCATGTTGTTTTTGCTGTGCCTTTTTAAAAGGTCCATTGTGCATTTAAGGTTTTCTGTGCACTTAAGGTTTCCTATAGCAGTCCTTAAGTGCACAGAAAACCTTAAATGCAATAATGATGTCTTGGCCCCTCCCTGGACCCTCTTGGCTGTTTTTGGCTGGTGCAGAGGCCCCACCTGATCCCTTTGACCATGTACAACCCCCTCTAGACTGAAAATTTCATTCACTCTCTCTCCATTTCAGCCTAGCTGGGCCACTTCCTCGGCTAGCGTCAAGGCGGACAGTCAGTGTGCACCACAGAGGTTCTGCCAGCTGCCCAGGAGAGCTTCATCCAGCCCCAAGCACCCCAGGGGACTGGTAGGAAATGAAATGCATGTTGTTTTGCTGTGCCTTTTTAAAAGGTCCATTGTGCATTTAAGGTTTTCTGTGCACTTAAGGTTTCCTATAGCAGTCCTTAAGTGCACAGAAAACCTTAAATGCACAATGATGTCTTGGCCCCTCCCTGGACCCTCTTGGCTGTTTTTGGCTGGTGCAGAGGCCCCACCTGATCCCTTTGACCATGTACAACCCCTCTAGACTGAAAATTTCATTCACTCTCTCTCCCATTTCAGCCTAGCTGGGCCGCTTCCTCGGCGCGTCAAGGCGGACAGTCAGTGTGCACCACAGAGGTTCTGCCAGCTGCCCAGGAGAGCTTCATCCAGCCCCAAGCACCCCAGGGGACTGGTAGGAAATGAAATGCATGTTGTTTTGCTGTGCCTTTTTATTTTAAAGCATCGTAGAGAGCCTTCAGTGCTGACTGAATCAAATGACAGCAGTGATTGGATGATTTTATGTTGTTAAAATGTGCATTCATCCACTAATTAAAACTAACCATATTTTTTCAATGTGTAGTTGCTTCTTTTTAACCTGATTGCTTCTGCAGAATGTGTGCAGAGATATTTTCAAGTAGGTTACATTTTAATGCTTGAAAACTGGGGTCGGCTTTTTTCACACTCCTGTATTACTCCTCTAAGTTTTACCATGACCCGGAAGGAAAATAGGAGAATGTAGTGCCTTGTTTAAATGCACTGATTTGTCTGTGCTAATTTATTCAGGGTGACTTGTGACAGCTTAAATGAAAGATCAGACATTTTACTTTATTGCCATTTGTTTTTGTCCTCAATCTGCACATGCTATTGACTCCAGCCTTTCATGATTTGACCCCAAGTTCAAGGCTGTTTAGTGTATTTCAGCTAGAAAATTCCGCTGACCGTTGTTGACAGTGGATACAGCAAAACTGAAATACTCGATCCAGACCGATATTTTGCTGGGTAAGTGAGAAGTAATAGGTTGGTCAGCATGCCACAGGACAGCCTAGGACAGATATTAATTATGGTGCTCTGGCCATGGCATGTCACTGTAGATAGTAAAGTGGTCTGAGGCTATATGTACTACATGTATTGGCTGTTAACAGCCTGGTTGTTTTTTAATGTTGCTTTGGAAGTTAATGGGAAAACATTTGATTTTGTGCAACATGTAAAGGTGAGTGCACATTTTAGTAATTCATACATTACATGTATATGCTTTCCTATTTATGTTTCACCATGGATACAAGTTGGCATTGTTATAGAGACTAATTTAAGGGAGTGAAGCTAGGGCTGCTTGAGTTGAATGGATTGTTTTAGTGGCCTTGATTTGAATGTAGCCTCGATTTGTGGTCTAACAGTGACAAGAGCCCACATGGTAATGGTTACCTGGCTTCTAAATTTGTTGAAACCGATGAATTGACAACAAATTAGGATAAAGTCACCACTGACACAATTTGGGTGTCTGTGTGTAAAGTCATATGATATGAGTATTGTGAGTATGAAATGTGTTCACTGCTGATGGCACAATATGTCACAAAACCCTCTTATCTTAAGTAAACAGTGTTGCATATGATCCATTCTTTCTGTTACACCCTTTTGCATATGAATAAACTTTTTCTCTCATGACTTTCAAACAATTATTTAGTTTCTCAAAAACTGTCTCATGGCTGTTATGGTCTTTATGATTGAACATTTAATATGATCTTGACACTATTTTCAGCTTGGAGAATGACTGATGGTGACTGGGGAGGTGTATCTTTGCACATACAGCAGAATCAGAAGCCTTCACATCCAATGTTGTGTTTCAACAAGTCTGTCTGATGTTGGCAGTGTGTGCACCCTCCTTTCACCTTGATATCCTCTACCACCTTGAACAAGTTGTGGTACTTGAACATGTAGGTACATACAGTACATTTAAGTGCCCCAGTCCAGTGAAGGCTGTATCTCAAATTCCATAACTCTCTCTCAACCTCAGCCATTAGATATTTCTGATGAATAATAATCACTTTTGGGCAGGGTAACTAATAAACTTCATAAGTTATCTGGATTTTTTTCATTTTGTTTTTCATATATGAAATTGGCAAGTCTAGCATTCTCAAAACAGCAAACAGTGAAAAATTTTTATTTCATGGAAGTATTTCAAAGTCTTAGCTTGATGAATTGATAGACTCATGTGTAATTTCGTTTCATGCTGTGGTCTCAAAGAGCTTTCATCTGTTTCAATTTCAATTTCCTGGCTTTAACAGGCAGTAGGGTTCTTTGGTCAGTGTTTCACATTGCTAGGCATATTCCAACCCCTTACTTTATACTTTCTGGCAAAATTCATTATTCAGCCTTACATATGTCAGGACTTTAAAGCTGTTTAATGTGACCCTGGCCAATTTCTGGCCTGAATTCTGTGCTTTCTAACTTTGAACAATGTTTCTGATTCCTCTCCACTTAGATCACCAGCCTACATCCAAAATGCTTACACAAATGACTTTGGGGATAAATTAAAGATCAGACACTGGTGTTAGCCCTCTCATAAATGGTTTATCAAACCTGGACAGTTGTGTTGAAACAGTTTTAAACTATCTCAATCACATCAGGTCATGAATATCAAAACCATATTCTATTAATGTAGCAGACTCTGCTATGATTTGATGATGTCAGCAGAGGAAGGCAAACAACTGACCATTAATGAACAGGAAGTTGCATAGTTACTAGTTTTGAGGTTTAAAGATTTTCTGTCATTCTAAATATGATGTTGCGTGAAATTATCCCATGACACTCTTTTTATGTGACAAATGAATAAACTCCCATGGTATCTGTATGATTATTAAACATTCTTTATTAATGCAGAAATACATTTTGCAAAACATTAATGAAATAGACATAATTTGTCTCTTACAAGTTTTTCAGTGTAACAAATATCTCTGTATCTTGTGCCATATAGACATATTGGACAGGGAAAAGTATTGAAGCTTCATCCAATTCTTTTTTTAAAATTTTAAGTGACATGTTCACATATACAGGGCATGGGGTAGCCCACTGGTTTAAGTTTGCTTCCCAGGTTCGATTCCCCACATGGATGAAGCCTATATATGGTGTCCCCTGCCGTGATATTGCTGGAATATTGCTAAATGCGGCATAAAACTAAATTCACTCTCTTACACACATGTACACATACAGTACATAAAACACAGATTTGCCTAGTGCAGATGTCTCCATTTTTTTCAACATTAAGACCTTTCTGTACGTTTAAGGGCAGCTGCAGAAGGGTCATAAGTACACATATAAACATCACATAGGAAGACAAGGCATTATTGACTTATGTAGTTTAGTGATATTTCATGCAACATGTAAGTGCATGTAAGTATCCATTTCATATTTCATCTTTATAATAACCTGAAGATTACAGCAAAATATATTAAAAGGAAACACCAGCTGTTTATCACCTAAGTAATTTTCTTTTGCAAACTGCTTTGGAGACTACCACATGTGAAATATTATTTAGTTGCCATGTCATTTACTCTGTTCAATGTTAGGGCATGTAAAACACATTTTGGACCAAAGGCCATTTTGGATGTATTTGACTAGGTGCGGTGAAAGTCTGACAATATAATTATGTTCACAGCTGAGTTGGCTAGATAACTGACTTTGTATGTTGGTGATTTGGTGGAGAGAGTCGGTTCAAATCCTGGATGGGACTAAACCCCAAACATGTCTAGAATGTGTACTTTACTGCGAAAGTGTAATCTTGCATATAACATGGTTTCATGTGTACAACTTGTATAAATGTGATATGTTTTGACAATTATTATGTATATTGAAGAAAGGATTTAATGGATTTGAAGGACTTGGATAATATATGTTTCTTTTCCATTTTAAAAGGCTTTATAATTATTATGATTACCATTAATACATCACTGAGATGTACTACCACTTCAACAAGTAATCCATCCTAACAGTAATGCATACAGAACCTAGCCTTTGTTTCTTAGTTAGAAGATAATTGTTAGTCATGTTAGTGTCTCATTTGCCCTAATTCATAATCAGCCACATATTAAGTATAGGCAGCAGCTGAACTATTTGGGTGCGATTACATCTTGATATGGTATGTTAATAATGGTGTGCATTAATATATTGTTCAGTGACTGTTTATGTGTTTCATATGTGTTTATTATGTTATAATCTATTGTGCAGTGATATGTTCATTGTACCATACTGTCAGTATGTTTACCCAAATAAACTCTACAGAGTAATCTTAATGCTGATGAGGCAACCACATTAAAATATGTTTTACCTCAGTTTGGTTTGTCTTATTCTTTTCTTTTTTTGTGGAATAACACTCCAGATAGAATAAAGAGGGTCCTTGTGTGTACCTTTTGTATTGTATACATTTGTTAATAACTTTTGTAAGATAACTCAATAAATTATATAACATTATTAACATTAATCACATAATGTGAGATAAAATAGAAACAAACATATGAGGTACAATTGAACCTAATGATGGATTTTGATGCATTTCAGGCTCAACCTTCAAGAAATAGAAGCATTGGTGTTATTTCAAATGACATCACGACTGCCTTAGATTAAAACTTGAAGGAGGTGACATTCCCCAGAAAAGTAAGATTGTCAAGTTTTATCATTTTTGTCAGAAAATGAACAAGTTTGATTTACCTTTGAAAGAAATCCACAACCCTGTCCATGGAAAATACAGACTGGAAATTATTGATGGGGACAGGAAAATAGTGATTCCTCAGTCTGGACTTCATAATGTCATATCCACAAATTTACACAGCGTTTGTTGGGTTCAGGATCCGAAATTCCAAAAATATAAGAACATTGATAAACCGGTATTATGCTGAAAAATTCTTAGGAATCCATACAGGAGTTTATTGATAAGCAGGGTGACAGGCAATTGTTATCCCAAATTTCCTAATGAAGCAAATTTGAAACCTGATATAGAAAACACCAGTGGGGCAACATACCATTGACTTTGTGGATCAACTACATAGGATCTACCTTGAGTATGGATGGGGAAATCCAAGAATACCACAATGTGACCAAGGCTCTGAGTTTAAGTGAGCAGTCAACCAATTATTAGTGGTGGTCTGATTAATTGAAATAATCAAAGATTGGTCGCAGTGACTAAATGACCAAGCAATCGAAAATGTTTTCTCATAATCGAACACAAGCAGTTTTGGAACACTTGTTTGCATTAACAATATTTTTCACAAGGTTGGTTTGTCTGAGTCATTTTATTTACATTTCATAAGCACTACAAGCTTGTTCCAAGTCATGATTGAATTTATCTTAAAGACTCCTGGAAATTTATGTTCCTCACATACTAGCCATCCTTTAAATATGTGAAGTATGAAAATGCATTTTGTGCAATTTACCCCAAAACCCAAAGAACTACATGTTGTTTTTGTAAATTATTTTGTGCATTAACAAAGGTAACAGGAACATTTGATAAATGATCCTAACCAATTATTTTCGATGATTGATCGGTTGTAATGGACCAATGATCAATTTTAACCAATTCCCAACACTACTAATTATGCATTGAAATGGGAACAATAATTGTCATAAGTCTTAACTCACCATCCCTAATATCAGGGAAGAGTAGGAGATAAATAACAAATAATATATATGGGATCTGAAATATGATATGTAATCTATAAAGGTCATGTCCATGGTTAAGGTCACAGATGTAAAGGCATCTTTGTGAACTGTTGGTACCACCACAAACTGGTAGTAATTCATGAACACTGTATGCCATAGTCACAATCAGACAATTGACCCCACTTTTGTTAGGATTATAGAGATATTTTGCTAGTTTCATTTGCACATGCATGGCTGAAGATGTATTTGTTATTTTTCCATTAAGTGAATCAATGTATTTGACAGTTCACATCTTTCTGTCATGACAACTTAACAGGTATGCTCCTTTTTGGCAATGTTATATACTGTAGTTAGAGTTTTCTGTTTTGATGTTACATTTTAACCTCAATTGTCAAATAAGGCATTTTTAAGTTAAATCTCAACATCTGTGTCTATTTTGTGCATCCCTTCATGGTTACTCAGAAAACATCAACGCATGGATGCAGTTATTATTTATATTATGGCATTAAAAACAAATGTTTATGTGTATAAATAACTTCATATGTTTACAGGTTGTTCACCATACCATCCCATGTTGGGTTGCCCACCAGTCCAGATCAACAGTTTGTTGAGGAAAAGCTTGGAATTCAGTTGATGCCTATTCTTGCTGTGAAGAGGAGCAATCTGAACTGTATGCAGGGGCACTGTTGAATTTTTAGATTTATCATTTAATTAGGGCAAGTGGGCACATCTGTTATCCCATGTCATACAACAGTGCTGTATCTATATAGGTGAAAATAGATCCCCAGGAAAAACTCCCTATGTTGAGTCAGGTGACCAGGCGGTAGTCAGTCTTGGTAACTAGTTTATGGTACAGCTGGAGTAGTCTGGGATGTTAATTATAATGCAGAGGCAATTAAAAGAAAGGTACAGCATCATACAAACATTAAAGGACTGATGAATGCTACATTATTATGATTATTATTATTATGAATGTATGACTTCAGTCTTTGCTGTCAAATGCAAAACTCAGTCACTGAAAAGTACCAGGGTACCATTTCTAATTCATGGCATTACAAGATATTGAAAGCTTTAAGAGTAGGGAGGAGGGAAAGATTTCGGTGAAGTCATTATTATGTAACTTGTGCTCATATGCTTTAGGATTAATGGTATGTTCTCTTATGTTTACACTTCTGGTGATTTTATGCACCATTGAAAGGGAAAAGGATGTAGATTTCTGTGCCCTCTTGTTACTGTTTGCACAAAAGCTATGATTTAAAAATCAGTTTGACAAAGTGTATTCATATTGTATCTTAACATTCCCATGTTTTTTATGTATTTTTTTTATTTGTTCCCATAGTCAAAGGTATACAGTAACAACAAACACAGAAAAGGTGTAAAGATGTAATTATAATTTGTTGCTGAATATTGGCATGAGTGAATTCCATTTAAGACTTAAGACTGAATTTATCAATTTCATTGTTTCCCTTGAAAATAAAGTTTTGAACAGAAAATATCTCTTTGATGCCATTTTATATTTAATGAATTTTGGAATTGATTTTTAAATTTACATAAATTGATATGTTTTTTGCAGAGATAATGATTTGATTTAGTAATACATCATTATGTAATGTACCAAACCAAATCAAATATTTGTAATGTTTATTTTTCATGGTAAATAGTTATTAATTGATTTCGAGATCATTCCAGAATTTTATGGTTTCACAACAGTCCTAATAAGCACAACAATTGCTCTCAGAAACATCATTGCAAACTAACGGTAGACAAATCATTGTCAGTCAGGTTCATTTTGAATAATTATATTTTAGTATAAATAACTATTTGCAGAAATGTGTATTGAAAATTCACAATCATTGAATATCATTTCCCATTTAGTACAAATCTTAAGTTTGTCATTTTTAGAAATACACTTGTCATTAAGTAATCTTGAACGCTTTGAGAGTTTTAATATATATTTTATAACTTAGCCTATCTCACGGTATGCACCATCTCTCTCTTCTACGACCATGTGTGGAAACGTGCTGTCAGCTAAGTTGAGTCAAATCTAACTGGCTTCTGACCCGCCCTGACCTCTGCCTTCACCCTGACATCAGTGCCTGTCAATCATCCATCAAAGCGTGGGGCTCGCCTAAACGATCACATGACCACCTCTACTTGTCATTCTCTTTCTTGTCGCCACGCTGTTTAAGAGAGTTTTTTGTTTGTGTTTTCTACTATCGGGAAAGCAAATCGTCACGCTTCAAAGAAACGCAAACATTGTGATAGATGCAATAGTAACTATTTGGCAGCAGACCCTCATAACTCTTGCGTGGATTGCCATGAACGATGCGATTGGTCTAAACGTTGTAGTTTATGTGCTAACCTGGACGACGATGCATTCTCAGAGTATCGTCGGGTAGCTAGCAGGTGCAAGGCAGATAGAGATCCGAGGAATCCATTGCAAGGTCCATTGGAGCCGAAGTGTTCTAAATAAGATCGCCAAATAAAATCTGCAATACGTTTCTAAATCCAAATCTCCTAAAGAAGATTTTCTGTGCTTCAACTGTTCTGACCCCATTCGCCTAGTTCTATTACTTTGGAAGATTCGTCACCTCCACATATTGTTGTTTTGTCTACATCTGACATACAACCAGGGCCGTCCTTGTTGGTAAATGTGACTCAACGCCCTAATGGGTTGGAGGTGGCGACTACTCATACTATTACATCACAAGTGACGGTTACAGGCAGTGCGGCGCTTTCAACCAGTGCGGCACTTTCCTCGGGAGTGACACTCTCATTAAGACATTTATATACGGGCAGAGCGCCGCTTGTCACAGATCCCAGGTGGCTACTCAGAGCCGCCTTTCCAGTGTGGCGCTTTGGGTGGATTCGGCGCGCTTTTCACTACCAGTTCGGGCGCTTCTTCCCCGGTGCGACGCTTACCCCTGGTAATCCCAGTTCGGCGCTTCCTCCAGGTTCGGCGCTTAACCCTTGTTTCCCCGGTTTGGCGCTTCGTCCTGGTTCGGCGCTTAACCCTTGTTTTCCCAATTTTTTGCTTCCTCCTGGTTCGGCGCTTAACCCTTCTTTTGCTGGTTTGGCACTTCCTCCTGGTTCGGCATTTGCTCCTGGCGTTTCCGGGTTTGACGCCCCCTACTAGTTCGACGCTTCATCATGCTGCTTTTAATTCAGCACTCTCACGGCCGTCCTGGTTCGGCGCTTACTGAAAGCGCTATTGATCAACGCCACTCCTATTGCGAAGTTTCACTTATGGGCCACCTGGCTCAACGCTTACTTATGGTGTTCCTGGTGCGGTACGGTCTCAAGCTGCTGGAGTGGTTCATGGTTCAACGCTTCCTCAGGTTTCAGCGTTTACCACACAAGTGCCATCATCTCATGTGGGCGTGACTCAATCAGCTGTATGTTCATCCTCGCTGTGTGACATACCTCATCTTCAGTTCCTTCTGCTACAGTTTCGACGGTGAGATCTGTTTTGCCAGTTTCCTGGAATCCAGTGTCTGAGGGGCAACGCCTCAACCTATGGACTTTGATGCCTTTGTGTTGGTCGTAGCATCAGCTACAGCATCAGGAGCCAGTGTCATCTCCTGTTACTCAGTCATCAGGGTTTTCGACTACGCTTAGCGTGCCTGTGCAAGAGATTCTACGCTCAACAACGCTGTCTATGTCTTCAGGAAGTATGTCTCCTTCGATGTGAGTGTGGATGCTGTTGACTCACCTCAGCTACTTATCTGGATTGCTGATAACCTCAAGTTACAGCGTAGTACTTCGAAGGATGACATTTTATCCAGTTTTGATATGAAGACTGGAGACTTTGCTTCTATCATGTTCCTCCCCGACCGCGGCATCACTCAGCTGACTGCGTCCCTGGATGAGGCTTTTGATAGTTTGAGGAAGATTAAAGATGGTTTTGCTGAGCCTCGCTTCAACTTGGCATCGGCTCATGTACATGGATTGTCATCTATAATTGTCTCTCCTCCAGAAGATGATGATATCACGCTGTTGGGGATGAAACAGAGAGATTATTCGCCCTTTCTGATCGAAGACGATGAACTGATACATTTAGATGCGTCCATAAGGAAGATTATGGCTCCATTGAACTTAATGTTGACAACTACTGAAGTGGTGGTCATGTCTGACGCACATGCTACAACCCATCAGCAAGCATACATCCGAGCGGCTATGGTATTATTGCAGGAACAATTCCAAACCATCCTAGATATCTTGGCTCGTTTCTTCTATGTCCACGGCTATGAGGCGTAGAGGACTGTTACAATTTTCATCCTTGGAAGACAGATTCAGAACAGACCTCTTTTGCCCACCCTGGTCGGGTAATTCTCTGTTCAACAGGGCGATTAGGGAAGTAGCCCATATTCCGAAGATCCCGCTTCTCACATCAATATTCTGGAGTTCAGGGCAGTGATTCTAGCAATCAGTCACTGGCAGAATGCTCTACAATCAACCTCTCTCATGGTCAGATCGGACAACGCAGCGGGTGGTGTAGCATATCAACAGAATGGGGTCAACAGGGTCTCCACGGCGTCTACAGTGGACACAACGATTCTTCAACCTGGTGGATTCTCTCAAAATCTTGGTGCGGGCCAACCACATTTTTGGGGTGAAGAATGTCATCGCAGATGCTCTGTGTCGACCGAGTCGTCCCTCTCCAATGGAATGGAAATTACATCCCCAGGTGTCTCAGACTCTTTGCCTTCCAATGACGTTTCCAACAGTAGATCTCTTTGCTACGAGGTTCAATCATCAGCTACCTCGGTTTGTGTCACCAATACCGGACCTTCTAGCTTGGGACCTGGATGCTCTGGCCATTCCGTGGGAAGATCTGAACGCTTACACGTTTCCGCCAGTGGCCCTTCTTCCTCGCATTCTGGTGAAATTGCGTGCAACTGGAAGGATAACTCTGCTTTTGGTTGTGGAAAAGTTTTGAAGCTTATTGCAGGAAGAAGGGCATCTTGTCTCCTACTACGGCATCCCCGCAGATGGTGGCAGAATATCTTCAACATCTCCGGACCTCCAGGAAACTTAAAGGATTTATCTAGCTGCCTCGCAGGATCGTCGAAGACTACGTAAGAGACTGTTCATCCCTATATCTACTGCCTCGACTTTGGAAGTCTCCCGTACTGCCTTGGCTTTTGGGATGAGAACTATGATCCTGCGTGCCTATACCTTTGCTAACCTACCTCCGCCAGCAATGGCCAAGCCTCATGAGACCCGAGCTCTTGCATCAACCATGGCTCTTCACAGGAACTGTTCCCTTCAGTCCATCATGGAGGGCTGTTTTTGGAGATCGGATACTGTGTTCTCACACACTACCTACGGACCTCTCACTGACAGATGTGGAAGGACTACATCAATTCGGCCCCTTGGTTCTGGCACAGCAACTGTCTTCGGCCCGTGCTCGCAGATAAAGCAATCCTTCTTCGGTCGGTTCTGCTCTGTACATAATAAATGATATCGATGTTATCCTTATCTTGGTACTTTTTGACCTGGGTCTAGACCCTCCTCACCTAGAGAACTAGGACGTGTTGGTATTGTCACACCATGGCGAGAAGACTATGAGGCAAGTCCTGTACTACATGTAGAGAAGGTCGACATTCCGCTTTACTGACCTCTACTCTTTGAGCAATCACGCCAGTGAAGTGTTGATCCCGACACCTGTATGGTTTTCAAAGCCGCTCTGCTCCTAAGTCCTTTCTCACCTTTGGTAAGTTAGGAGATTGGTACTGAACGTTAAACTAGTTGAGCAACCGGGCTATTCCTTCTTTCACTGTCTGTGGGGGATAGTTTCGAAGCAGGGACTGTCCAGATTAAGGTCCTGGACTTTAATTCACTGGGGTCACCTGATAAATCGCGGGGTGGTGGGGCCTACTTGCCAAACTGCGTCCTTTTGCTTGTCAAAAGTTGTGGCTGAAAACCACATTAACCCGGGAGCGCCCACTCCTTAGAGTTTTTGTGCTGTGTAAACCTGAATTTTTTTTTTAAAAATCCCCAACAAAAAAACATCTCAAGTTTGGAGTTTGCATATCGGGAGTTGGTTGCTTTCTCCTGGCCTCCTTGAGTTATGCGTTTTCCCGGTGGTAGTAGTAACCGGGTAATCTGCAACCCGCCTACCAACCATTGATTATGCATACCGTGAGATAGGATAAGTTTAAAAATTTGAAAATTTTATAATAAATTGTATATTTATATACTTGTCCTATCTCACGCGTTAGGACCCACCCGACCTGCCCCACATCACAGATTACTGGAAGCTCCAAGACGAGAATGACAAGTAGAGGTGGTCATGTGATCGTTTAGGCGAGCCCCACGCTTTGATGGATGATTGACAGGCATTGATGTCAGGGTGAAGGCAGAGGTCAGGGCGGGTCAGAGGCCAGTTAGATTTGACTCAACTTAGCTGACAGCACGTTTCCACACATGGTCGTAGAAGAGAGAGATGGTGCATACCGTGAGATAGGATAAGTATATCACTATACAATTTTCAATTCTTTGGTAAACATTGATGTATGAATTGTAGGAAGGAATGATAACTGTATTTTTAATAACATTTTTCCAAATATCAGGTCAGATTTGAAGTAGATAGTTATAGTCTAATTGTGTCCCTCTTATTTTGTATTGTATCTTTAACTTATCAAAAGGCATAAATCCATGCTCATCACATACATCTTTTACTGTCAATAAACCCTTATCCGCCCAGTGTCTAATATAAGTGTTTTTATGATTATGATTGAGCCATAATGGTTGTGCAAGAATGTGATCAGTATTGTCAGAATCAGCATTAACCTTTTTGCAATAATTGTTCCATGCTTTTAAACATCTTTGCAATAAGGGTTTTCAATGTTAAGTATTTTGTGAATATTTGCTCCATACTTGAAGTTATCATTATAAGGTATATTAAAAGGATTATTTTTGGATGATTTTTTACAGTAATTATTGTCTAAGAGTGGATAATTTTAGAGCTTCAATAAATGTTTTTATATCAACCATACCCAGTCCCCCTTCAGCCTTTAATCTTTCCATTGTGATTCTTTTTATTTTATCATTATTACCATTCCAAATGAATTTGAAAAATATCTTTTCAAGAAACTTGCTAAAGCCATCTGGAGGATTAGGCAATGAGCTTAAAATATGTACTACTTTTGAGAGGGCTAATGTTTTTATGACAGTAACCTTTCTTATCAATGTTCCCAAGGTTATATGATCAAGCTGGATTGTGTCAAATAGTTGTTTTATTTAAAGAATGTGTTATTGCCATCGAATTCAAATAGGAATCTCCATCTATCTATCTATCTATCTATCTATCTCTCTATCTCATCTCTGTCTCTCATCTCTCTATCTCTCTATCTCTCTCTATCTCTCTCATCTATCTATCTCTCTCATCTCATCTATCTCTCATCTCATCTCTCTCTCTCCTCTCTCTCTCTCTCTCTCATCTCTCTCTCTCTCTCATCCCCTCTCTATCTCATCTCTCTCTCTCATCTCTCTCCATCTCTCTCTCTCTCTCTCTCTCTCTCATCTCTCATCCCTCCTGTCTCTCTCTCTCTATCTCATCTCTCTCTCCATCCCATCTCTCTCTCCCATCTCTCTCTCTCCCATCTCTCTCCATCTCTCTCTCTCATCTCTCTCTCTCATCTCTCTCTCTCATCTCATCTCTCTCTCCCATCTCATCTCCCTCTCTCTCTCATCCCATCTCTCTCTCTATCCCCTCTCTCTCTCCATCTCTCTCCCATCCCTCTATCTCTCTCTCATCCCATCCTCTCTCATCTCATCTCTATCTCATCTCTCTCTCATCTCTCTCTCTCTATCCCATCTCTCTCTCTATCTCATCTCCATCTTCTCTCTCTCATCTCATCTCTCTCATCCCATCCCATCTCTCCATCTCATCTCTCCTCTCTCATCCCATCTCTCTCATCCATCCCATCTCTCCTCATCTCCTATCTCTATCTCTCTCTATCTCGGTTGATTGGTTGGTTGGTTGGTTGATGCACAGAGGGTGGGTGGGTGGGTTGGTTGGTTGGTTGATGCACAGAGGGTGGGTGGGTGGGGTTGGTTGGTTGGTTGATGCACAGAAGGTGGGTGGGTTGGGTTGATGCACAGGTTGGGTTGGTTGATGCACAGAGGGTGGGTGGGTGGTTGTGGGTTGGTTGATGCACAGAGGGTGGGTGGGTTGGTTGGTTGGTTGGTTGATGCACAGAGGGTGGGTGGGTGGTTGGTTGATGCACAGAGGGTGGGTGGTGGTTGGTTGGTGCACAGAGAGTGTTGAGTGGGTGGGTGGTGGTTGGTTTTGGTTGATGCACAGAGGGTGGGTGGGTTGGTTCATTGGTTGGTTGGTTGATGCACAGGTGGCCGGGTGGCTGGTTGGCAGAGGGGTGGGGTGGATTGGTGCACAGGTTGGGTTGGTTGGTGGTGCTGGTTGGCTGATGCACAGAGAGTGGTTGGTGGGTTGGATGCACAGAGGGTTGGTTGGTTGATGCACAGAGGTGGGTTGGTTGGCTGGTTGGTGGATGGGTTGGTTGGTTGGTTGGTGGGCTGGTTGATGCACAGAGGGTGGGTGGGTTGGTTGGTTGGTTGTTGATGCACAGAGGTGGGTGGGTTGGTTGGTTGGAGGTTGGGCACAGAAGTTGGTTGGTGGGCTGGTTGGATTGATGCACAGAGGTGGAGTGGGTTGGTTGGTGGTTGGGTTGGTTGGTTGGTGCACAGAGGGTGGGTGGGTGGGTTGGTTGGTTGGTTGGTTGCACAGAGGGTGGGTTGGTTGGTTTGTATGGGGTGGGTGGGTTGGTTGTTTGATGCACAGAAGAGTGGGTGGGTGTTGGTTGGTTGATGCACAGAAGGTGGGTGGGTTGGTTGGGTTGGTTGATGCACAGAGGGTGGGTGGGTTGGTTGGTGGGTGGGTTGGTTGGTTGGTTGGTGGGTTGGGTGGGTTGGTTGGTGGGTTGGTTGAACAGAAGGGGTTGGTTGTGCACAAAGGGTGGGTTGGTTGGTTTGATGCACAGAGGGTGGGTGGAGTGGCGGAATGTTGGTGGGTTGGTTGGTTGGTTGGTGGGTTGGGTGGTTGGTTGGTTGGTTGGTTATGATTTTAAGGGGAGGGGTCACCCGTTTTGTTCTGGGCGGTAGGGGTAGTCGTGAATTTTGTACACATGTACCAGGGCGGGGTAGCAATTTTGTACATAATTATATTTAAATTATAAATATAAAAATAATGTGAAGATGAGGGAGGAGGGCATAATTGTATTTCTACATGGGAGGTCACTTCCTTTGTACATAAATTTTAAGTTACTCAGATTGTACATGCTTCTCCATAAAAATCATCAAACTCCTCTCCCCCCTCCCCCTTGTGATTTTTGTTGGACTAAGTTTGTACTGCCAAAAGAAAATTAGCTTGCTGATGCTATTATTATCTCATTGAAACTGACTGTTGCTATTTTTTAACAAGCATAAAATATTAACTGAGTTAATGTATCTCGGTTGATGTATAACACAGTTTCCCAAATATGACCAAATATTGTGATGCAGGTACATGATATACATTTATGGTAGTTCACCTTGTCCAAGCATTCATTCACAATGGTACAAAAATCTTATCAAAACGTCACACTTATAAAATAAAAAAAGGTTGTTATCCATAAAAAGTTGTTCAAAATAAATAAAAACACTTCTATCTTTTTGTACTTCAGAGCAGCCACATATTACCTCGAGAGGTTAACCAGAATGCAAATCAACAGAATATGATGCTGACCAAGTACCAGGAAGAGGTGTCCCCATCACTGTAGATGACAAGTGATGACAGTTATCTTGATGGACTACAGGAATAATTCAAGTGCAGTTTACTGATTTGTATGATGTATTTTGATAATTGTTTTGGCATTCTGATGTCAGCTGAGTAACACCTCCATAATGGAGACAAATTAAGGAACTTCTGTTTTGAAGCAGTAAAATAGTCTCAGCAATAATTTCTATTTATTTTGCCAGCAGAACAGAAGTTTCCATTAATTTTCCCACACAAACATTTTGTGCTTTCCTGTTCCCCATTTGTACTTATTGTCCTGCTGAACAATTGGACCACCTTTTCAGTGACATTTTTTTTACACTGCATGACGATGTGATTTAGAAGTGTGATTTGATATAGTTTGATGGTTTGATATTAGTATATGTGGCATGTAGTAAACAATGGAATAGTAAAGTTATGCCATATTTCTTGTATTTCATGATACTGGCTGTTATATTACTTTTGTGATAGTTAGTATTTAATTAAGGCTTTACTAAGTCTCTGCATGTCTGCCATGGAAGGCATGTAAAACTGTTGCCCTTTTCCAGAACGAAGAAAGTTTTATATGTGTAATTCATGATATGTGAATAATGTCTTACATGTGATGTTACATCTAACTATTTAATGTGTATGCTGTTAGTCTTAGAAAAAAGAAAATTACCCCATCTTGAAATATTCAGCTTTGTCGGTTTTTGTTGCTCCAGATTTTGCCATATTTTGTTTCTGGAGGACATTTTGTTAAATGTAGTTACGTATGTTGTGCCCTTAAACGCACAATGGTCTTAAGTGCACAGAAATCATGAATATTCATGAGTGGGCGGAGCTTATGTCACTACGTCACATACACGGCACAGTATCTTCCGCGGAACTAGTAGAGGGAGTTGACCTATGCTGCTTCGTCTGTTATTGCCTTATACAATGTGACAGCTACAATATGCATATGATGTATATGTAAACATGAAGTATACGTGCCGTTTATTCAATATAATGTGCTGTATTGAAGTTTTGCGACGCAACTTCCCACGGTGAAGGAGTTCAAGCGAGAAAGCCTCCTCGAGAACAACCACGGTACCTAGCTTTGCGATGGAAACATTCACATGTCAATATTGTCATTGCTCAGTCCTGACTTATCATAACTCTCCAACCAAACACAATAACATCTCTTGTCAACCAACTAAATACTTATACAATACATATGTACATGTACGTACATATTGCCAGATCTAATTAAACTCCACGTATTTCAATAGCGTCAGCTCTATAATAGGGCGTCTTATGAAGGAAGGAAAGGTTACCCAGGCAGGCCAAAGTACCCAAAGCTACCTTTCCATGGCTATCAGGGCACTACAAAATTGAAACAAATATTTGAGATTTATATCCCAGGGTAACCTAGCATGGCAACAAATATTTCTGGAATTTGGGTAGTGTATCTGAAGTACCTGAGGAATCCCTCCAAATAGTAAAATTACTAGTTTCTGGTGTGAAGGTGCAGATAAATATATTCAGGATAAAAAAAACCAAACACCATGTCAACACCTCGGCCAGTTTAAATGTCTGGCAAAGTATATCCCTCCAAAGATACCATACTGCCAGGGTGTTTTGGTACTTTGGCAAGTCTTACTGAGTTTAATTATTGGCAGTTAAAATCACTTTCAATTATTTAGGTTGTTTCGAGATCACTCGACGATTGTAATTAGACGGAACACCATGAAATGTACATGTGTCACATGTGACAATATTATACTCTGCATAAAAAAATATATAGAAAAATTGGAAATATCAAAGTACTGCCATAGCCCTCATAGTCTCCAGATCTGATCTCTCTTATCTCATAGTATATTTAAATAGGCGATTACAATAATATCATAAACTGACGTACAAAAGAAAGTACCCACCTGGTGCTTTGGGATTATTTTCCAAAGGACATGATATCCCATGCCCTATACTCTGAGGGATATCTGGGGTGTTTTGTCAAAAACATACACAACAAAGTTAAATAGTGCACTTTTCAAAATAGTTATGTTTATGATATTTCTTGGACCATAATCCCCACATACTGGGTGTGTACTTTCTTTAGTACGTCAGTTTATTTCAGCGGTAAAAAGTCCAAAAATATATAGATGACTTTAAACTGTATCTGAAACTGAGGAATTCGTGGAGCGTCCTGATTTGGCGAACACGGTGTCTTCCAGTTGTCTGAACTTGTATGTAACCTTGATGCCATAAAAAAAAAAAGAATTTGAAGAACCTCAGAAACTTCAAATAAAATATCTTCAGTGAAGCACGACGTTTAAGTTGATTAGTTATATATTAATATATTTATAATGGCGTCATCTAACAACGTCGAAAAACACACTAAAAATGCAAAGCAAGCCCGCAAGATCGTCAAAGACATGATAGCCGTTATGTAAACAGTGCACGAGTGTTTATTTGACTCTCTCACCGTTCGGGTACCCTTGAAGGTCTGGGTTAGGAGACCGCCTCCGTGGTGTAGTGGTTAGAGCGTCCGCCCGGAGAGCGGAAGGTCGCGGGTTCGATCCCCGACCGCGTCATACCAAAAGACGTTAAAATATGGTACTCGTTGGTCCCCTGCCTGGCGCTCGGCATTTATGAGTACAACAAGGACTGGTCGGCTCGGAGTCAGTATAATGTGACTGAGTGGGGTATTCGTACTTCACTGCGGCATGGTATCTCAGTGGGCTGGCACTATAAAACCAGCTTCAGTCTGGACTAGTACAAGCAGCCGCACATACACACATACACATACACGCGCATGCACGTCGTCATATGAGCGAAATATTCTCAAGCACGACGTAAAACCCAATTTCACCTCACCTCACCTGTAACCATCTTCAGTAACCCGGTAACTGACGAGATCAGGTGGGCAGACTCTGTTGACACATGTGATCGGTTCCCAATTGCGCAGATCGATGCTGTTGATCACTGGATTGTGTGGTCCAGACTCGATTATTTACAGACCGCCGCCATATAGCTGGAATGTTGCTGGGTGCGGCGTAAAACTAAACTCACTAACATAACATTACTGAAGATCAATTCTGTAGGGATCTTCACGAGTAAGGGGGACGAGTGATTTGTGTGTTGTGTACAATATCCATTGAAAACGCTGATCTTTTTTGTAATGTTTTGTCGACCTCGACGTCAAGACGAGACAGAAACACATGCAGTTTTACCATCCTGCTGTGCATGCTTACCACTGATGTCAGCTGAAACATACAACTTTGTACAAATTACCATTTTTCTAGGTGAATATTTGGTTTAATATACCAGTTGATTTGCAATAAGAGTTGATAATACAGCCACGAGCATAACAATATATTACTGATCAATTATTATCTTAGATATTGCGCGTACATTTCGCTCCATTAGGATATTGGTGCCCTAACAATCAGTCTATGTAATAAATCATCATATATCGAAGGTAGATATCCTAAAGCGTGTGGGTTTTGTTTTTTTCTCCAGATCTTTGCTAGATATATTGATTATATTGATACTAGATTACTGATAGCATATATTTTGTTTCTGGGACATGCAGTTTCCATGTAATATACCGTTAAACTTCCAAACTTATTATGGATATATAATAGTGTCTGACTGTTTATGAGGGGAAAATTAATTTTCAGGGTTCGGAATGAAGGGATTGCGTTTAGCTTTTGTCTTTATGTTATATACGTATTTTCACAGGAAACACAATCCCACTCTTCCGAGCCCTAACAATTCTACTCCTACAGCTCTCTTTTTCACAATAATCGGTTCCGAATTGCGCAGATCGATGCTGATGGTGTTGATCACTGGATTGTCTGCTCCAGACTCGATTATTTACAGACCGCCGCCATAAAGCTGGAATATTGCTGAGTGCGGCGTAAAACTAAACTCACTCACTCACTGTTTTCACAATAAGGCTGTCAATGTTGACCGAAGTAGGTTAAATTACTCTAAACAGACATATTTTACTCGTTTACACTTCAAAACCATATTAATTTTAGAAATGTACATTTGGAAATAAAACATTGGTTGCTGAGAATAGTTTCGCAAGAATATGTTTTAACAAAATATTCATATCATTTATATTTGCAGTAGAATTTTTCGTAGAGGTTTCGGTTTTTTTTATATAAACTATCAATGTGCGAGTGCTTTTGTAATGTACATTACTGTTGAAAATAAACAAAAATATAGTAAATATAGTGACGTTCTTGCTTGAAGTAGTTCTGGGCTTCATACGCCAAGCCCATTCGTGACCAACTCGTGTTATTCCGGGTCAAGCCTTCTTGGAGGTTACGGAAAGGGGCGAGTGGTGACGAATGACGCCAAGCCTTCCAGAGCAAAACGAGTCGCTATTCAGATGTTCTGGAATATCATGAGTTGGTCATGAATGGTCGCGGAATAACACGAGCTGGTTACGAATGGTCTAGCATAGTGGTTAAAGCGAAGGCTCGTAACGCCGAAGACCCGCGTTCGATTCCCCACATGGGTACAATGTGTTAAGACTTTTTTTGTTGTTCATCTCCGTGATATTGCTGAAATATTACTAAAAGCAGCGTAAACCCATCCTAACTCACTCACTCCAGAAGTAAACCAAAACTATCTTTACGAAGCACCCGTAAAATACCCACTGAGCTGTAAACATCGTCATTGTCATGATACAAATGAGACAAACGATTTCAAATACTGAACAAACAAGAAAAACTAACAGATGAAACCAAAAGTTGTTGTAAATAATTATACAGCAGTTTAGAATGTACAGAAAGTTTTGGAGAAAATAAAAGCGACAAAATCCTTTCCACATCCATAAGCCATATCTGCTAATATCAGAGCCGATTGCCTAATTCCGACGATATCCTGAGCATGATCTATTAGTGACGACACCAGGTGTTCCGGAAGAGGTGAGTCTATGATGCCCCACCGGTGACACCTGTCATAAACATATGCAAAGGCTAGTCAATTGTTCACGTGGAAAGTACATGTAAAAAGGGGGATTGCATCAAAACAATGTTAGAACCAGAGAGATATTTGAATGCTGTGAATATTCCAAACTTCAGGCGTATATTGGTTAACGTTAGATGTGGTGTATCACCACTGGAAATTGAAAAGGGAAGGGCATCAGGTATCTGTAGAGAGGAAAGATATTGTAAGCTTTGTGAAGATGGAAGTGTTTCATTTCATGTTCTTGTGTAAGGCATTTATAGATTTGAGACAAACTTATATCACCTAAAAGTTCTTTAAAAACATTGTTTCATATTTTCATTCAGTTAATGACCACTAACAATGATGATATAATTCAGAACACAGCTCAGTATATCTATCATGCATTTATGCTTAGAACATCTTGTAAAAATGACTCGTATTGCCTGCGCACTGTTTTGTACACATATATTTTCTCATGTAATTGGTGGCCTAAAGTTATAATAAACGATGGAGATGATGAAGAAGCATCAGATATCATTTTTGTCACTGAACCTTTAAATTTTAAATTTCCTCGATGTGCAGCATAAACCTTTTGAAAGCTTTACTGATGCCTTGAATGTTGTAACCTTGATCGAGCAACTTCGAGTCGTGTGACCCTTTTTGAAATCGTGGTGAAAAGAGCATGTTGTACCTCCAAAGTTGTGAAATGTAAAAACCAGAGGCTGGAGCTGTTGGAATTATGGCTCGACA